TGTAAGTACTATTTACATTGTAAGTACTATTTACTTGTTCAAGCTGTAGCAAAAGTCCAGTTTGCAGACGAGCTGAAGTCAGGGATAATACATGAATGGAGATTTGGCTGAGAACAAGTTGCTGACTGGTCTATGACCTAGTGACCAGTTATCAATTACAAAGGCTTCCGGCGTGCAAAAACTATGTGATTAGCTCTCAGGTAGAACAGTTTGTGTGCGTAAATGAGATAGGTAGGAGCTGTCTGTTTTCGCTTTTAAAAAATACCTTAATCCTGAAGAAAGCCAGTTTATTTTTCCCTCAGCATCTGCTATGAGTTGTGGCTTTCAGTGGCAGGAGAGGCGAGATCGTGAGCCAGGGGGCAGCCGGAAAGGTAAGGTTTCCTTACAAAAACTTGCCTCGTGAGTCAGCGGCCTTCTTGATTGGAACAGTGAGAGAGGTGAGAGCGCGAACCGGGAAGTGAACTAATATACTTAGGTATTAGCTAAACCCGAAACACTACATGTGTATTGTCTCCCACCCAAGCTCCTCCTGTAACCAAAAAAAACGGTGTGGAGTGTCAGAAAGGTAGGGTTTTTTTAGATATTCTTTTGGCAATCTAGAGTAGAGGGAATGGAACCTAGGGCAATTGCATGCCTCTCTTGTAGAATGTGGGAGGTAAGGATCACTGCTAGTGTCCCTTCTGACTTCACCTGCGAGAAGTGCACCCAACTCCAGCTCCTCACAGACCGCATTAGGGAACTGGAGCTGCAGCTGGATGAACTCCGGATCATTTGGGAGGCTGAGGGGGTGATAGATAGACGTTATAAGGAGGTTGTCACACACAAGTTATAGGACAAAGCTGGCTGGGTGACTGTCAGGAGGGGGAAAGGGAATAGGCAGACAGTGCAGGGATCCCCTGTGGCCATTCCCCTCAAAAATAACTATACTACTTTGGATACTGTTGTGGGGGTACGACCTACCAGGGGAAAGCCATAGTGGCCTGGTCTCTGGCACAGAGCCTGGCTCTATGGCTCAGAAGGGAAGGGGGGAGATTCAATGGTTAGAGGAACAGACAGGAGATTCTGTGGTACCGAGCGAGACTCCCGGATGGTATGTTGGCTCCTGGGTGCCAGGGTCAGGGATGTCTCTGATCGAGTCTACAGGATTCTTAAGGGGAAGGGTGAGCAGCCAGAAGTCATGGTACACATCGGTACCAATGATATAGCTAGTAAAAGGGATGAGGACCTGAAAAGTGAATATAGGGAGTTAGGATGGAAGCTAAAAGGCAGGACGAGCAGAGTAGTAATCTCAGGATTACTACCAGTGCCACGGGCTAGTGAGGCCAAAAATAGAGAGTGAGTGCAGCTGAACACATGGCTACAGAGCTGGTGTAGGAGGGAGAGCTTCAGATACGTGGATCATTGGGATACCTTCTGGGGAAGGTGGGACCTGAACAGGAAGGATGGGTTACACCTGAATTGGAGGGGCAGCAATATCCTGGGCAGGAGGTTTGCTAGAGCTCTTTGGGACGGTTTAAACTAGTTTGGCAGGGGGATGGGAACCGGAGCTACAGATCAGAGGATGGGGTAGCTGGTGTACAGGAAGATACAGCATGCAGAGAATCTGTGAGGAAGGATAAGCAGTTGATAGGGCAAAGTGGCAGTCAGTGTGATGGGTTGAGGTGTGTCTACCTCAATGCAAGAAGTGTCAGGAATAAGGGTGATGAACTTAGAGCATGGATCAGTACTTGGAACTACGATGTTGTGGCCATTACAGAGACTTGGATAACACAGGGGCAGGAATGGTTGTTGGATGTTCCAGGGTTTAGAATTTTCAAAAGAAATAGGGAGGGAGGTAAAAGAGGTGGGGGAGTGGCATTGCCAACCAAGGATGGTGTCACAGCTGCAGAAAGGAAGGTTGTCAAGGAGGGTTTGTGCACTGAGTCAGTATGGGTGGAAGTCAGAAACAGGAAAGGAGCAGTCACTTTACTGGGAGTTTTCTATGGACACCCCAATAGCAACAGAGACACTGAGGAACAGACTGGGAGACAGATTGTGGAAATGTGCAGAAGTAATACGGTTGTTGTCATGGGTGACTTCAACTTCCCTAATATAGACTGGAACCTGCTAAGTGCAAATAGTTTGGATGGAGCAGATTTTGTCAGGTGCGTCCAGGAAGGATTTCTGACTCAGTAGGTAGATAGGCCAACTGGGGGAGGCCATATTGGATTTGGTGGTTGGCAACGAATCAGGCCAGGTGTCAGATCTCTCGGTGGGAGAGCATTTCGGTGATAGTGATCACAACTCCCTGACCTTTACTACAGTCACGGAGAGGGACAGGAGCAGACAGTATGGGAAAGTATTTAATTGGGGGAGGGGGAATTACAACGCTATTAGGCAAGATCTGCGGATCATAAATTGAGAACAGATATTCTCAGGGAAATGCACGACAGAAATGTGGAGGTTGTTTAGGGAGCAGTTGCTAAGAGTACTGTATAGGTATGTCCCACTGAGGCAAGGAAGGAATGGTATGGTGAAGGAACCTTGGATGACAAGACATGTGGAACATCTACTCAAGAGGAAAAAGGAAGCTTACTTACGGTTGAGGAAGCAAGGATTGGACAGGGCTGTAGAGGTTTACAAGATAGCCAGGAAGGAACTGAAGAATGGACTTAGGAGAGTTAGAAGGGGGTATGAAAAAGCCTTGGCGGGTCAGATCAAGGAAAACCCCAAGGTGTTCTATACTTATGTGAGGAACAAGAGGATGGCCAAAGTGAGGGTAGGGCCAAATAGGAAAAGCAGAGGGAACTTGATCATGGAGTCAGAGGAGGTAGGGGAGGTCCTTAATGAATACTTTGCTTCAGTATTTACCAGTGAGAAGGACCTTGACGTTTGTGAGGACAGCATGTAACAGGCAGATATGCTCGAACAGGTTGATGTTAGGAAGGAGGGTGTGGTAGAAATTTTGAAAAACATGAGGATAGATAAGTCCCCTGGGCCAGACAGGATATACCGAAGAGTACTACGGGAAGCGAGGGAAGAAATTGCTGCGCCTTTGGCGATGATCTTTGCGTCCTCACTGTCCACTGGAATACTGCCAGATGATTGGAGGGTGGCAAATGTCATTCCCTTGTTCGAGAGAGGAAATTGGGATAATCCTGGGAATTACAGACCAGTCGGTCTTACTTCTGTGGTGGGCAAACTACTGGAGAGGATTCTGAGAGATAGTATTTATGATTATTTGGAAAAGCAGAGTTTGATTAGAAATGGTCAGTATGGTTTTGAGGGGCAGGCCATGACTCACAAGCATTTTTGAATTCCTTGAGGATGTGACAAAACACATTGATGAAGGCAGAGCAGTGGATGTGGTGGATATGGATTTTAGCAAGGCATTTGATAAGGTTCCACATGGTAGGCTCATTCAGAAAGTAAGGAGGCATGGGATTCAGGGAAATTTGGCTGTCTGGATACAAAACTGGCTGTCCAATAGAAGACAGAGGGTGGTAGTAGATGGAAAGTATTCAGCCTGGAGCTCGGAGACCAGTGGTGTTCTGCAGGGATCTGTTCTGGGACCTCTGCGCTTTGTGATTTTTATAAATAAAAGGAAGTGGAAGGGTGGGTTAGTAAATTTGCTGATGACACGAAGATTGATGGAGTTGTGGACAGCGTGGAGAGCTGTTGTCGGTTGCAACAGGACATTGGCAGGATGCAGAGCTCGGCAAAGAAGTGGCAGATGGAATTCAACCCGGAAAAGTGTGAAGTGATTCATTTTGGAAGGTCGAATTTGAATGCAGAATACAGGGTTAACGGCAGGATTCTTGGCAGTGTAGAGGAACAGAAGGATCTTGGGGTCCACGTCCACAGATCCCTGAAAGATGCTATCCAAGTTCATAAGGTTGTAAAGACGGCCTATGGTGTGTTGGCTTTCATTGGCAGGGGAATTGAGTTTAAGAGCCACGAGGTTATGCTGCAGCTCTATAAAACTCTGGTTAGACCACACTTGGAATATTGTATTCGGTTCTGTTCGCCTCATTATAGGAAGGTTGTGGAAGCTTTAGAAAGGGTGCAGAGGATATTTACCAGGATGTTGCCTGGACTGGAGGGCAGGTCTTATGAGGAAAGGTTGAGGGAGCTAGGTTTTTCATTGGAGCGAAGAAGGATGAGAGGTGACTTGACAGAGGTGTAGAAGATGATGAGAGGCATAGAGTGGATAGTCAGAGACTTTTTCCCAGGGCGGAAATGACTATTACGAGGGGGCATAATTTTAAGATGATTGGAGGAAGGTATGGGGGAGATGTCAGAGGTAGGTTCTTCACACAGAGAGTGGTGGGCATGTGAATGCACTGCCGGCAATGGTAGTGGAGTCAGATACATTAGAGACTTTTAAGCGACTCTTGGATAGGCACATGGAGGATAGCAAAATGCAGGGTATGCAGGGTAGTTTGATCTTAGTAGGATAATAGGTCGGCACAACATCGTGGGCCGAAGAGCCTGTATTCTACTGTACTGTTCTATGTTCAGTGGGCCAGAGACTTTATAAGTGTGAAGCAACCATCCTGTGCCTTCTGCAAGTGAGTGAAAGTATCCAGAAAATGTGAACCAGGGTATAGCACATCCTGAAAAGCCAAAAGGATCATCTCAGCAAATTCTGTGGACAGGCCATTGAACTGCCTACTCAGCTCTTCCTGCTGCATCCATGATGACACCCATGATCATTTTGTGTCTGCCTGTATATGTATATAAGGGAAAGTCTGTGAGGGAATCAGATTTTTGATTAGTTGAGCTACATGTTGATGGTTCATAATTGTCTGTGTGTAACTAGAGTCTACTTAACTCATAATAAATAGTATTTCTTGTTAAGCACAGAAGGTAGATCTGTGTTCTGTCAAATTAATTCTAAACAACAGCTAGATTGGAAAATTTTGCTTACTTTTATAAAACCTTTAATATTGCATCTTAGGAAAAAAAGGGTGAAATTGAAAAGAGGTGAAAGGAATCAGAATGAAATGCAAAGCTCTTACCTCACATTAACAATGCCAATGGTTTCCTTTGAAACGTACCTCAGCGTGTATGCATTCAACAGAAAGCTGAGCAGTCGAAACAGCACCTGACAGTCACAACAAAAAAGTGAGAAATCTGTCCAACAACCAAACTACCCACATAGAGTCATAGAGTAATACAGCACGGAAACAGGCCCTTCGGCCCAAACTGGTCCATGCTGACTATGGTGCCCACTCAGCTAGTTCCAATTGCCCACATTTGGTCTATATCCCTCTAAACCCTTCTCATCCATGTACCTACTGAAATGTTCTTTAAATGTTGCTAACGTCCCTGCCTCAACCACTTTCTCCGGCAGCCCATTCCATATACACACCACTCTCTGCGTGAAGAAGTTACCCCTCAGATCCCTCTTAAATCTATCTCCTCTTACTTTAAACCTATGCCCTCTAGTTTTCAATTCCCCATCCCTGGGAAAAAGACGATATGCATTCATCCTATCTATGCCCCTTATGATTTCATGCACCTCAATAAGGTCACCCCTCATTCTCCTACATTCCAAGGAATAAAATCCTATTCTGGCCAACCTCTCCCCTTCACTCAGGCCTACTGGTCCTGGCAACATCTTCATAAATCTTCTTTGCACACTTTCCAGTTTAACTATAACAGGGTGACCAAAACTGTACACAATATTGCGAGTGCACTTTCACCGATGACTTATACAACTGTAACATAACATCCCAACTCCAACACTCATTGCCTCAATGGATGAAGGCCAGCTAACATAATATCACAAATCCTATACTCAATGCCTCAACCGATGAAGGCCAGCATGCTAAATGCCTTCTTCACCACCCTGTCTATTTGTGATGCTGCTTTCAACGAACTATGTACTTGTACTACTAGGTCCTTCTCTTCCACAATACTTCTCAGGACCTTATCATTTACAGTATAAGTCCTAAATAAAAACCAAAAGAACTATGGATGCTGTAAAATCAGGAACAAAAACAGAAGTTGCTGGAAAAGCTCAGCGGGTCTGGCAGCAACTGTGAAGAAAAAATCAGAGTTAACATTTCGGGTCCGGGTTCTGAGGAAGGGTCACCGGACCTGAAACGTTAACTCTGATTTTTTCTTCACTGTATAAGTCCTTCCTTGGTTTGACTTTCCAAAATGCAACATCTGACACTTATCTGCATTGAAGTGCATTTGCCAATCCTCAGCCCACTTGCCCATCTGATCATGATCCCCCTGTAATTTTTGATAACCTTCTTAACTATCAATGATACCTCCTAATTTTACATCATCCACAAGCTTACTAATCATGTCCTGTACATTCACATCCAGATCATTTATGCAAATAACAAATAACAAACGTCCTAGCACCGACCTGTGTGGCACACCACTAGTCACGGGCCTCCAGTTCAAGAAACAACCTTCAACCATCAGACTCTGCTGCCAACCATCGAGCCAATTTTGAAGCCAATTAGCTAGCTCTCGCTGAATACCATGCGACCTAACTTTCGTGATTAGCCTGCCGTGCAGGACCTTGTCAAAGGCCTGACTAAAGTCCAGATAGACAACATCCACTGCCCTACCCTCATCCATCCTCTTGGCTACCGCTTCGAAAAACTCCAAAGGATTTGTCAGACATGACTTCTTGTGCACAAATCCATGCTGACTATCCCTAATCGGACCTTGACTATCCAAATATTGGTTGATCCGGTCCCTCAGTATCCTCTCCAATAACTTGCCTACCACTGATGTCAGGCTCACTGGCCTGTAGTTCCCTGGCTTATCTTTGTTACCTTTCTTAATAATGGAACATTAGCCACCCTCCAGTCTTCCAGAACTTCCCCAGCGGCTAAAGGTGAAGCAAAAATCTCTGCAAGTGCCTCTGCAATTTCTTCCCTAGCCTCCCACAACATCCAAGGATGGACTTGATCAGGCCAAGGGGATTTATCCACCTTAATGCGCTTTAAGGCTGCAAACACCTCCTCTCTGGTAATATGTATGTGGTCCAAGACATCCCCACTTGTTTCTCTTATTTCCTTAGCATCCATGATTCTCTCCGCAGTAAACACTGAGGAGAAATATTCATTAAAAATCTCCCCCATCTCCTGTGGCTCCACACACCGACGGCCAAGCTGATCTTTATGGAGACCTACTCTCTCCCTCACCACCCTTTTACTCTACCAGAAAAGGAAGAGACAGCTTATACTCTGAAGGGGTGGAAATGGGGGGAGTGGGTGGAGGTGGTAGGGGGATTGGGGGGGATTAGGGGAGGCATGAGGAATGGGGGGAGGGGAGAGGGGATGGAGGGCAGTGGGGGATTAGGCA